CTCCAGTCTCAGTCAGACCATTAAGTCTGGTCTTCTTACTAGAATTTGAGTTCTGCACCCCATCTTTCTGCTGCTCCATCAGGGACTCTCTGTTGTGTTTCCAGTCAGAGCGGTCACTGGGGGTAGCCGGGCATCATCTAGCTCTTCGGGTCTCAGGCTGATGAAGTCTGTAGTTTATGTGGCCGTTTCTGTCTCTTGGGCTAATATTTGCCTTGTGTCTTTGGTGTTCTTCATTCTCCTTTACTTCCAGGTGTTTGGGATGAATTGACACATCTTAGATGGCCGCTTGCAAGATTTTAAGACCCAGACGCCCAAAGGTAGTATTTTAGATCAGCGAGGAAAGAATGAACCATTCAAAAGAAGATTTTAAAACAATTGGATATTCATATAGGACGAAAACGTTAGATTCCCTACCTCAGTCCCACCAAAATCTAACAAACAAACAAAATGCCACATAGACTAAAACATATAATGAGAAACAGAATGTTATAAAAGTAATAGAAAATGTAGGACACTATCTTTAAACCGTGAGTTGGCAAAGGCCTCCCTAACAAGACTCACACCCCATATGCATTGAGGAGAGGGTGACAGATGTGATTCCAAGAGTGCAAACACCTCCTACTCTTCATAGTCCTTTCCCCCTTTTCCACTGGATTGTTTGTCTTTTTCTTGTTGGTTTATAAAAGCTCCTCTTGTGTTAAACATATTCAATCCTTTCAACTCCTTCCATTGTATTTCAATGTTTCAAGTATTTCACACTTGTTTTTGTCTTTAAGGAGGCAAAAACACAACAGTGATAATGAGGAGCACAGGCTTTGTAGACAGGTGACTATTGGTTCTGCTTTTGGTTTTGTCACTTGGGGCCTTAAATTTATCTCCTTCATCTGTAAAAGAGGGATGATAATATCTTCCTCGAAGGTTTGTTATGTCAGATAATATATGTAGTCCAATGTTTGGCATTTAAATAAATGCTAAATTTGCTGTTTTGTTGCTGTTAGATGCCGTCAAGTTGATTCCGACTCTTGACGACCCCATGTGTGCAGAGTAGAACTGCTCCATAGGGTTTTCAAGGCTGTGATCTTTCGGAAGCAGATCTCCAGGCCTACTTCCAAGGCACCTCTGGGTGGGTGGGAACTGCCAACCTTTCGGTCAGTAGTTCAGTGTCATCTAGGGATTCCCTAAATTTGCTAATGGTGGTCAAATCTATCAAAGTTTTCTGCCTGTGGTATCAGGCTTAGAAAGCTCTTTCCCATCACAAGATAATAAAAATATGGCTTCTATTTCCTTCTAATACTTTCATGGTTTCATTTTTTACATTTTCTGAAATATGTTTAAGGTGAGAAATATGGATTTTCTTTATCCCCCCTTCCCTCAGTAGCTAGGCTACTGTTCTATTACCATGTATTCACTTCCCCCCACTGACTAGAATTTTAGAAGTTGACATTCCAAAAGTGTTAAGAATACATGGGTCTGTCTATTACTGGGCTCTGTCTGCTACTTCAAAACAAATATTAGGTTGTATTATTTCTCATTGTGGAACTGCTATAACGCCTTATCTTTCCTTCCTTGAGCATCATTATTGTCTACTATATGCAGAGTTCGGGTCCTAAAAAAGTTTATAATCTAAGTAGGAGAGAGGATATAATGAAAACATATAAATGAATACAAATGTAAGACTAAACTGAACACAGGAATTAAAAGCAGCACAGGATTTTATAGAAATGTCAGAAAAGAAATGGCCACATGCTGCTTGGAGAAGCAGAGGGAACTGTCCGGGCAATGGCCAATGACTATCTTTCCAGAGGCCTTGGCAAACTGACCCCTTGCTGGTCCCCAGCCTCCCAGGCTTAGAAATCAGACTCTGTCGCCACCAAGAGAACCAGCTTCTTCCTTTCTGCGGCAGTCTCACCTTATCAATATTGCAGGACTGACCAAAAATCAGAATGCCAGATTATGACTTGACAATGAGAAATATATCTGCTCCACAGACAGAACTTCTGTGTCTACATGATCAGGGAACTGTGTCTCTGTAGAGACAGGCCTATGTGCACACTAAAGCACAATCAGAAGGCTCCTTGGTGAGAACAGAATAGAACGTAAGGAATTAGCTGAATCCAGTATTCCATGGAAAGAGATGAGGGAGTCACATCCATCCGTCTCCTC